AGTTGCCAACTTTTCTTTTTGATGATGTAATTCCTCAAAGAAAGATTAATGTTCTTGGTTAGTATTTCCTTTGGTTCAAGGAATTGTTGGGAGATTTACCACTATATTAATTTTATTTTGAAGGTCCGGATGATTAACTTTTGAAAATCAGCTGTTCTGGTCAGGGACAGTCCCACAAACTCATGAAAAGGTTGTCATGAACAGAATTTCCTCCAAATATGCTTTTCAATATTGGATTGGGCATCCCAAAATTGGATTTGGGATTTGACATTTTGAATTAAAAGAAATAAGATTTCATTTTAATTAATCCAAAAGAAAAAAATAAATTTTTATGACACTGAAGAACTTCTTACAGAAAATGATACTTGGAAAAAAAATGCAAGTATTTTGATAATAAAATTCCCTAATTTTTTCATCATGTATATCCCTTCTGGACAAAAGAACAGCAGATCAGATCTAGGCTACCTACCTAAGCTTAAGTCTTGTTTTGTATAACTGGGAATTAGGGGAGGGAGGAATCAAGGGGAAGGGACAATGCAACCAAAATAAGTACCTAATTTTCCTTTCAAATCAATGAAGAAATGTAGATTTTTCTGAAGACTTTTGGAGTGTCATCCAGACTGGTCCAGCCAGCTAACTACTTTTCACTGAGATTGCAAGGGGCAAATAAGATAGATACATTTATATCAAAAATCTCTTGGCACTATCATCATGTTTTCTGTAGTAGACAAGTAGTCAGCTTGTCTGGACAGCAGGAGACATGAGCTCTAGGCTCCCTTTAGCATGGGCAGCCAGATCCCCAATTCTTCACAGACTACATGACTGTTTAACCACAAGCCTGTAAACTGTTTTATGCAAACATACTTTACTACAGTTCCTAATCCAAAGTCTGTTTTCAGTTTTTACCCAATGACAATATCTAATGTAAAATGCACACACACCACAATTAAACCATTTTGGAAAAGCTGTGCACCACTACTCGTCTTAGTCTGAGTCCTGCCTACAAGTGAATTTCTGACTTTGTCTAGGAGTGCTAGTGTTTTTTTAGTTAACAGTGCCAGTTGCTGTCTACTGATGTGGGGGCTGCAGCAGAGCTCTAGATGGCAGGTTGGTACTTACCTTCTCAGAATAATTACTTCTGAATATCCTTGGGAAATCAAAGTTGGATACCCAGCTAAGTAGGGAGATGCCAATTAAATTTAGTAGGCTGATGGGATTTCTGAGTTTCAGTCACTAAAATCTTACCTTAGCCAGGACTTCTGAAAACTGATATGCACCCCTAGAGAGTGTGATAGAGCCTAGAAAGACAGATTAGTCCAAAAAAGCCTGGTCAAAAGAAACTCAACATTTACACGAGCTGCAGCTGTGTAATTGCCCATACACCATGACATAACTCTTCCTTGTTAAATTAATATTCCAGTTTGTGAAACAAGATAGAGTTAGTAGCTCCTGTTACAGCCCATTTGTACATTTACAATGCAATTAAAAAAATGAACAGAAAAAAATCTAACTCAGAAAAATGAACCACAAATCTAGCTGCAATTACTATAGAAGAAATGCAACGTCAGCTCTTTTCTTCCATTAGTATGCCAGGAATTGACTCATAAGAGGAAATCTCATGGATTCCTGCTAATCATCTAGTGTAACTTATAGCTACAATGTAAATGTATTTGATGCAAATTATTATTGCATCTAAACTGCCAGTAAAAATACATTAAACGGGCTGCTAATTCACCAACTACCAACAAAAATGCTGTTATTTTAAGAGATTATTGCTGGGAACACATAAAATATGTTTAAGGAATACTACATTTGTACTTGCAGTGTTCCTTTTCTCATGGTAGCAAATAAACAAATAAAATGTAGTTTCAATTATTAAATAAATAAAATATAATTAATATGTTTAAGAGCTTCATATGGCTTAGTGTTAATAGAACAGATGTGACCATTATTCATGGGTCACTTGTGATTTTTGTTTTGCCTTTGTTGCAGTTCAATAACAAAAGTCATTATTTGAAGACAATGTGTAGTACATCTTGAAATGCACGCAAAAGTTGAGTTAGAGCATTCAGATGTCTGGAACATGTTACTGCAGTCTGCAAGTGTAGACACTCCAGAAATATATCAGAATCTATTTTAAATTCATTTAGGATTGTGCAAGGCTAATTATAGAAACATATTATGGGCTTGGTACAAAGAATGAGTTATTTGGGGTAGGCTAGATTAATTTTGGGGAGGCTTGGGTTCACGACTTTCCTTTGCTGTGCTAGCCCAGGGTGAAATATAGGTTCTCCAGTAGTTCAGTAGCTCACTCTGGAGTCAGGGCTTTGAATCACTAGACATTTGAATGTGTAATGTTAGAGGTGAACACTTCAGGTGAAAATATTAAGTGTCAATGAAATTATTTTTGGAAAATTTTTGACAGTTCTAATTGTGTATGTCCAAGTGCCTGAATATCAGTAGAGTCTCATATATCTGGAGTTTGACTACACAGTTGCCCACCTTTAACAAGAGGGATGGAGGTCCCTAGAGCAGGATCTCCTACTCTTGTTTGGCCACTCTGCTTATCATAGTAGATGAAACATGCTGGGGAGCATTTCCAGGCCAGCTGGCAGGGAGCAGCTCGTGCCTCTGCTAGGAAGTCCTTGCTGCTGAAGGGCACTGGCCACACCACATTGATCCGTGGGATACTGTGACTCTGGAACTATCCCAGGAGCTGTTTGGGAAGGGACTGGCTCACATGGGACAGGCACGTGCCAAGGGCCAGTCCAGCTGCATCAGACAGCACCTGGGAATGTTCCTGGATGCTCTTTCACCTGCTAGCTTGGCTGTACCTTCACATGTTCATGTTTTGTCCCTAAGGAAAAACAAAGTATGTTGTATACATGGGCATTTCAGGCTGCGAAGCACTGAAATGCTAAGGCAGCATGGGCTGAATGGTTGCACAAGCAAATTGCCTATCTTCGCAGGACTATCCCTGAATGTGGGCATTGATTTTAGATCTGGATGTAGGTCTTCAGGCTATTTCATATTCTTCTGTCTCATACCATAGACCTGAAAACTAACCTTGGTGACAGGGAGACAGGACTGTTGGCTGCTGAGCTGGGTCAAAAGCTCTAATGCAAGTGATAAATTTCAGGCCCTATCCATGGGAGGTGTCCTGTCATTTATTATGTGATCTGATGGGTGGGCAGGCCCCCTCTGTGCCTTCCCTTCAGAGAAAAATCTTGTCATTCTTCCTAATAAGCATCCTAGATAGACTGGTCAACTATAAGCATTGCTAGAGACATTGAATATAGAACACTGTTAGTGCACTGAAGCATCTTGAATAGTGTCCTTTTTGCCTGAAATATTTTGTTAATTCTAGAGTACTACATTTCATTTTCTAAATTTCTCATATACACATATAGTATAACATTTGAGTTTTGAGATCTTGTGACATTATCTCAGAAGCACGAGAAGACTAATTTAATTATTTATAATAAAAATCATCACCACATCCACCACATCCAACACATTTTGTATTGCTTATTTCAGGTTTAATCTTTGGCATGAAAAATAAAAACCATGAAAGAATATTGATAAGCTGATTATAATTCAGTAATTGGAACCTAGCATACTTTTTGTTTCACAATAAATATTTGATCTTTAGTCCTTCAGCATTATTATGTTTTCTGAAGTATCTTGTAGGTCATGTTAACCTATGACTGTTTCTGCACAGTGTCTAGTTACACCATGAGATCTTTGCCACCCCTTGTCAAAGAACAAAAGTTCGTGTGAGTTCAAAAGAGATTAGACAAATGCATGAAAGAAAAATCCACAGGCTCTTAAGCACAGAGATACCACATCTTTGGTGAAGAAATCACCAGAACTGCTGAAACCTTGGAAAATATACTCAGAAAGTTTTGTATTACAGTCACAATATTTGTCTATTTTTCTTTAAGCCTCCAACAGGATATTAGGTTAGCTCAGGTATGATCATTCATGTCTAGTGGGGAGCACTTGAGACATATATATATGATTAGGTCCTTTTTGAATGAACACTGGGATCAAACCCTTGGCTGGTATAAGTGGGTGCAATTACACTAAAGCTGTGTTAACTCAAGCCAAAAAATAGTTTGGCCTTTATTTCATGAAAGATGCTAAGCTGGCAACAAGAAATTTTTCACCTGTACAGGTCAAGAGTGAGCTAAAGAATGGGCAAAAGGCTGTAGATTAGGCACTGACCTCTAGTAAGACAGCTAGAACTCACAAAACAGAAGGTCTGTTTGCACTGTGACCATCTGCAGCCAATCAAGCTATTCACAACCTGAACAATTTTCACATCATAATGGTTTATGTCCCCTTTTTTTGAATTATATAGGTAATTTTTAGATAAGGGAGGGAAATCTGCATCCCATTACTACTATCGCTACATAAAAGCCAGCAAATATTTTAAGTTGGTGGTGTAGCTGAAGACAGTCATTCCTTGACCAACATTTTCTCACACTCATATGTGACCGAGTCATGCAGTGGCTAACACTGGGAAGATAAGTGAAATTCCGGGTGACAAAAAGATGTTTTTCTGTTGTTCCATGTCAGCCATTTTTTAAGAGTAATTGAATTTTGAATTTTCACTGAATCAACTAAAAAAAGTTTTAACTGAACGGTTGGGTTTGATATTCCACAGCCTTATAACAGATGTTTAGTCCAGGTATTGTCAAAAAGAAATGATTAAGCTGGACAGAACAACACATTTCCACACATTGCTGTAACAATCTGGAGAGAAACCAAACCAGAAATGAAAAGGTGAATGTGATGTTTAAATATTCCAATGCAAAAGGGCATCTCTAAAGTATTCATGAAAAATAAAACCCTCGGCAAAACCTAAATACCTTAAAAAAAGAAGTCACCAAAACTTTTTTTGTACTTTTCAGCTTTCCAGCCTTCCATAGCCTGAACTGATTCAGCAATAAGTAGAAAACAAGAGATCCTTGACAGAATCTTAAAGGTTTGCTTACCATAGATTGACTAGGAAGGGATGCTCCAGGCCTTGCATTATCTGTAGCTCCCGAAAAACATTTCGAACTTCATCTCTCTCAATGCACTTCTGTTTATTCATATATTTCATGGCATACATTTTCTTGGTGTCTCTCTTCTGTACAATGCACACCTAATTGACAGCAAAGTAAAGGACAAAGTTTGACACCTACAGAAAGGAAACTCAGTTGTGACTTTGAAAAAAAGGAGCCTTTTATGATATTTCAGTTATCCAGGTCTGGATACCAAAACCTAGAAACACCTTCAGAAAGTCCATATTACAGCAATGCAGGATTCTTTGTAATATATTGTAATTACTAAATTAACAAAAGAACACCCCACCCCTGTATAAGAAGAAATGGGGACCAAGAAAAGTGGCATAACTTTCAGAAGTTACATGGTAAAGCTGGGAGGAATACAGTCCAATTGCTCGAATGACAGGCTGTTTCATTAGTCACAGAAATTACTGCCTCCTGCCTAGGAAAATGCATGATCATTGTCCTCGTTCCCACGAGTCAATACACATATCTTGATTACTGCATCATAAACATAGCCTACATTTACAAGGCTCAATATTTCATCTAAATATCAGAATTATGCTCCCTTAATTATTGTTGAAAAGAAAAAGAATTTTTGTACAGAGATTCATCATAATACTTTTTAAGTCACAAGAAACCATTACAATGATTTAGTCTCTGGCAGTAAATTTCTTTGCTTTAACTTTGTTTTCTTTTTTTAAAAAAAGTCAAATAATTTTGTAAATGCAGGAAGGAAATCTTAGTCAAGAGAACTCCCATGTAAGGCCTGGATTGTTTTTTGTTGTGGCAGTTTACCTTGTGAATGAAGCTGGAGAGTGTCACCGACACCACATCTAAGGACCATTGTTTTAAATATGATTTCTGACAACACAAAAATATAAGATTGTTCGCTGTCTCATCCCCAAAGCTGGTGTAAATCTCATCTTCATAACAGCCCTACATACACACATAGAACAAAACTATATCTTCAGCAGATTTTTGCTCTGAAGGGTTTTTCCTGTTGATTTATCAGGACTTTTTGAAGTGACACTCCTAATGTGTCTTCACAGCCAAGAGAAAATTAGTTGAAAATATTATTTTGGTGCAACATTTATATTACTGGTACAGCCATAGGCTCCAATCAGAATTTTTCATCATCAGGACATATACAGACTATGTACTAGAAGCATCTGGTTTAGATATCACAGCTCTGTAGTATCTAAATTCAAGGGTATTCTGGACTCACTTGTTGTGGGCACTATTATTTTGTATGTATATTTATGTACATACACACATGCACACATACACACTCCCATATTATGCACATGTAAAATTATAGTATACATACATAGTATACACACATAAAAGTAGTGCTCAGAGATCGAATTACAACATGGTGCCAACCAAAAATAAATCCTTTGGTTTTGAGTTGTATATTAAAGAACTTGCGGTGCTCAAAATTCAGAAATTGTCTGGAGAAACTAAGAGCACTTCCCACAGCTGAAACCTCTGACTTTAACAAGGTGTCATCTGGATTCTGGACTTGGTGATGAACCACCAGCACCAGGGTAAGGACCTTAGAGAGACCTGCTGTGTGGTCACTTATTTCTTAATCGCAGAGGAAAGGCTCCAGGAGCATATCATCAGCATATTTTACTTCCCCTACATTTTTCCAGTCCCTCCAAGAGGAACTGGACCAGTGAACCCAAACCACATTTATTTCTCTGCAACTCTATTTCCATGAAGTGTGTCCTTAAGCTCAAATCTACTACAAAGAGAGGACTTAATAGTACTTTTAACCTATAATGATAAGGTGTGATTAAGCAGAGTTTCTAATTGCCTTTCCTAATATCAGGAGATGTTCTGCTAATTAAGTAAAACATGGATGGTAATGTTTTGTCTTGAGCCCATCAATGTTGCACAATGGTGAGTACCAAAGTTTTGTTTCATTTTCCTCCTTGGGCTATTACAGAAAGTCTGAATGTTGGCGATGTCCTTAAGATAACTGAAAGTTCACACTTATATGGAAAGAACCCAGGCTGTGGAACAATGGGGAATTGGGGTTGGCCTTTTGGGGGAAGAAGAGGTAGCAGGTAGGGTTGAACTGAAATGGAGGGATGGAAATTAATTGTTCAAGATTCCACAGGTTCTTCAAAAGTATAAGCAGAATTTGCAGGGTCTTGACATCCTGTCTGAGATTATGTGGACACTCCAATTTAGTGAATCACATTATAAAGGACAACGTTTATGGATTTTGGCTCAGAACCTAAGTCCAGAAGTTCATTCACTTACATGAATTTGCAGCATGATTTTCATATGAAACTTGGCCAAGACTGAGGTGTTTGCAGAAGTCTCTTATTCCATTACATAAAAAGCCTCTCTGTTAATCGTTGACTAGTGACACTGCTGAGAGAATGGAGTTTTACTCAGCTGAGAGTTACAGGTTTGACCAATGCAGCAAACTCGGGTCATATGCAGCACCTAAATATGTAATGTAAACAGGTTTTGAAACAGTGCTGTGACTCCAGAAGGCACTCAGTTCTCTTACCTGCCCGTAAAGACAAGGGTATTCGGCACAGTTGAAACAGACCTTCTGTTGTTAATAGAAGGTTGCCTAGCATACAGCTTTAAAGCAGAATGATAGTAAACATTTTCTAGTAATGTGTACCTACACACACCTTTTAACATGGTTTCAAAATCAATAGGATTTTAATGAATATACTAAAGCTACTTCCTACTAAAATCCAGGAAACACAAGCTGCATCCACATTGATGTTATTGTGAAAAACGCCTGACATTGCTATGACAGCGCTGAATCATAGTGGAGATCCTCCCTGGCATTTCTATCTGCTGGCTGTCAGCTCTTTTTCTGAGCAGGACGTCAATGGGCTGAAACTATTGCAGGAAAGAAAGGAAAAGCCCTTGAGCTCTCCTCACATATGCAGTCTTAACAGGAAATGTTTAAATTGGGTTTTTTTTGTTTAAACTCTTTCCAAAAGAGTTATTTTAAAATAGGGAAAAACAGGTGCTCTGGCACCTTAACAAACAAATTCTGTGATGACATTATTGTGGAAGTCTGTGCAGAATTGCCTTATTTACACGTATCAGTATGGAAGCCTGTCACACTCACATTACTAAAACATCCTCTTTCAATTTTTCTGTGAATAGCATTTACCAAAGCCCAGACAGTGCCCTGCTCAAACTGCTATCATTGCTTCAGCAGTCTCTATAGATGATGCTTCAAACCAAATATGTGTCACGAACTCGACAACTATCCAGCTTCATAGTCAGCAGATAGGGACAGGAACATTCATCTCCACCTAAGGTATGGGTTTAAATAGGTCCAAGGGACCATCTCTAGAAGGATGGTTTCTCTTTTAAAGTCCCTCTTGTGGTTTAACCCCAGCCGACAACTAAGCACCTTGAAGCATCAGTGGCTGTGCATGAGGTCATGCTGGAGCACCTCAAAGCACATGGCCATGGATAAGCCCACAACAAAACAGGTACCCCTGGAGGGACTGCAGCCATGGGTAAGGCCATGCTGGAACAGGTATCTCTCTGAAAGCATTGTGGCCCATGGAGAAGGCCATGCTGGAACAGGTGCATCTCAAAGTGACTGTGGATAAGTCTATGCTGCAGCAGGTGTACCCCTGGAGAGACTGTGGCTCATAGATAAGGCTCCACTTGGAGCAGG